CGCCATCGCCGCTCAGACTGGGGCCCGCCGCCCAGCGATTGGAGAACTGTGCGGGCCACGCCGACGACTCATTAGTCAAGCAGCCTGCCCGTCACCACGAGCTAGGACTCCATTGGGGAATATTATTTGGCAATCAAATAAGACCCCACCTCCAAGGCGGGGGATTGCGCCAAAGTCTCAAATCCCGGTAGGTGAAATCCGTCAGTCAATCAACACACGTCCCACCTCCTCCCAAATCCTTAGGTAACAATACCGCCACACTGTGACGACATTCCTGCTTCTATCGTCTATGGGCGGGCCCGCAAGGTATATGGCGCTCCGTGATTGGTCACTGGCTTGACAAATGGAAAGGACCAATCTTCCGATTGCTTCGACGCAGAGGCCGTCTCAGATGTCGATTGGCTCGTGAAGGGCTGATACCCGTTTTGTGACAGATGAACCTTGCCCGCGAACGGCCTGCCGGGCTTACCGCAGGGGAAAACCGAGGTCACTTGACTAGTCTTAAGGTGGCCGCCATCTTGTTACTACTGGTTGCCAACTAGGGAGCTCTTGTAAGGTAGAAGCCGGAAACTGGTCTCCTGACCAGAAAAGCACCACTAGGTGGGATGTTGCTGGAGATGCAGGGTTCTGATGGAGCTCCGCAGGAAGGAGCTTACTTTTCCCATTCAAGTTATTGGTACATCATCCACCAGGTCTCCCAAACCAGAAAGCAGGGAGGAATCCTTATTCCAGAGCTACCAGCACGAGTCCTGTCGGTTCTGTCTCCCTGCACAGGCATATTTTCCGAGACCTCTGTGCATGCCCCAGTTTCAGCCTGTTCCTTCCCTTGCTTGGAGTATTTGCTACAGCCCCCTAATGGGTCTCCTGGCTTCCAGTGTCGCCCCTCCAATCGGCACCACTCCCAGGCTGAGTTTCCACCCCCTTGCTGTCCAGGTAGTCTCAAAAATTCCTCACCGTGGCTTAGAGACCTCAGGACTAGGCTACAGCGCTAATGTTATTTCCACACTCCTCGTTCCAGGGGGTGCACTGAGCGCGTCGGTGGCTCTCTACATGCAGTCCCCCTTTAACAAGACCGTCGCAAACCTCAGCATCACCGCTGCTGAGACGCCTTCCACTAGCCTCCCCTGGCCCATTACGAGCGGGCCTACTTCACTGTGCTTAATCATTTTGTGCTGTGTTTCCTAACTAGGTTCGGAGAGCTTGGAGATAAGAAGCTGGATCCTGTTTATATTTGCATCTCCACTGTGGGGCAATATGCCTAGACATAGTTAAGTGTCCAATAATGTTTGCTGACCGAAGGCTGCATTGACTGGGGACCTGGGGACCACCCTTCACCTTAAGTGCTTTCCCAGCCCCCAAACCCTCCTTCAGATCCCAGAGGAATTTCTCCAGTCAGGTTCCCACCACACCGTTGCACTATTAGATACCAATGAGACCTAGTCTTGGAAGGTAGGGTTGCCATATTATAGTAGTGATCCTATGCATTTGTTAAAAAGGAAGGAACGGCGATGCTATGTCAGCAAGAGGGATGTTTGTAGCCAAGCTATGGTTTGAAAGCGAGATTAATGTGAGCCCAACCAAATAGTTAACCCCAATAGGAGCAGGGGCATTTGGACTAGAGGAGATCCCTATTTGCTAAAGCAAGAGTCAAAAGCTTCTCAGTGTACTCCACTCTTCCCCCCTCACTCTCATTTTTTCTCACAAATCCTTACCTCAGGAACAGGGGAACTTGGAGCAGTCACAATTACTTAAATTTCACTGAAAATTGCTTCCTCAGCCATCTCAGCTTCAGTGGTCTGGGAGAACTAAGTTCAGCATGGAAGACAAGCTCTAGAAGAATGTGAGTTCACTGGAAGAAAAATCTTTTCTGCTGTACTTAACCCAGTCAAGGTTTGGATGTTTTAGCGGGATCTAGTTTAATCTAAGCAAACCAATGAAGGGAAATGGGATATATTTTTTTAATGCCTTGAATCCTAATTTTGTTGAGCACTCGATTTTGTAACAGGCACTATCCTAGCCTCTCTACTATATTATTTCATTGCATTCTCACGACAACCCTATGAAGTATTTCCAAAACCATATCCTTTTTTAGGAATGAGGAAAAACTGAAGTAACTTGCCCAAGTCATGGAACTAATTAGAAGTGAGCAGGGAATTCAAAGCCAGTTTTCAAAACTCATATCGATCAAAATTACTATAAGGTCTGTTTAAAAACACAAAGATTACATTATCTATGATGCTGAAATTGGAGGAAAAAAACAACTAAGTTCCAGCAATAGACAAGTATTCAGGCAAACCATAATTACATCCAAAGATGATTATGTACCTATTAAAAGGTTTTACACATAGTGTGTGATAACATGCAAAATATTTTGTTAGTCCAAAAAAGTAGAATGTAACTTTGTATATAAAGAATGATTAAAACTATGTAAATCTTATTTTTTTAAAAAACAACTTGGGCTGGGCCCACATGGCTCAGTGGTTGAGCATCAACCTATGATTCAGGAGATTGCCATTCAATTCTCTGGTCAGGGCACATGCCCGGGTTGCGGCCTCCATCCCCAGCAGGGGGTGTGCAGGAGGGAGCCAATCAATGATGACTCTCTCATTATTGATGTTTCTGTCTCTCTCCCCCTCCCTTCTTCTCTTTGAAATCAATAAAATATATTAAAACAACAACAACAACAAAAACCTTGGGTAAGGAGGGATGGTGTGAAGGAACAAGAACCACTACAGTCTTTTCTTCGGCAATATGTACCAAAAGCTTTTTAAAATGTTGAAATTCTTAATCCAGTAACTGTATTTCTTATAATCTGTCCTAAAGAAATAATATAAAAACTGGAAAAACATTTGAGAATTAGAATATCCATCAAAGTGAAAAAATGTAGACAACTTGAATGTCCAACTGGGCACTGTCAGGAAAATTACTGTACAAACATAGATGTAATTTTATATAGTCATTATGCCTTTTTTAATGATAAAGAAAAATGCTTGCAATATAATGGTAATTGGAATTGGAGTACACAACATTATATATACAGTATGATCATAAAATATAAGCACAGATAAAAGATGGGGGAAAATATGCCAAAATGTTAATAGTGGTTCTTTCTGGGTAGTAGGATGATGACTAATCTTTCTCTTTATAATTTTCTATGTTCTACGATTTTCCCACAATATCATATATTACTTTTATTTAAAATTAACTCCAACTTCCAAACTTAGTCTAATAAACATGATTACTTTTACAAACATATTTTAAAAGATATTTTTAAGATACTTCCCTATTGGAAGGCATGAACACCATCTTGCTGATATTTGCCCATTGCCTATCACTGTGCGCTCAATAAGTGGTAACTGAATGAGTTTTCTTCTGTAATAATCTGATTTAATATCTTGCCTGTTAATGATGCATAGAGAATATCAGAGATTAGTTTCCCTCTGAGAATTTTTTAAAAATTTGTATGTTGCCTGGCTGGCATGGCTGTGGTTGAGCATCGACCTATGAACCAGGTCACGGTTGGATTCTAGGTCAGGGCACATACCTGGGTTGCAGACGCGACCCCCAGTAGGGGACATGCAGGAGGCAGCCGATTGATGACTCAATGTATCTATCTCTCCCTCTCCTTTCCTCTCTCTGTAAAAATAATCAATAAAAATTAAAAAAAAATTGTATGTAATGATATGAGATTCACCCATTATGAGTATAATTTTCCTTTAGTAATAACCTATCAATAGAGAGCTGTGGAAGTCTGGGAAAACTGAAACTCAGTGATGTGCCCTAGAAGAAAAAATGTGTTAATAGAAGTGAATGGTCAGTGCAGTTGTGAAAAGCAAAATTAAATCAATAAAATGAGGGCATCTCCAGTTTTGTCCAGGAGGGAAAAGTTTCCTCACTTAACATAAATACTTGGCTTCATGGTAGCTTCAAGCCTATTTTTGACTCCTGCTTTGAAAATAAAATTTTTTTGCTTAATTTTATTTATTGATTGATTTTAGAGAAAACATCTATTTGTTGTTCCACTTATTTATGCATTCATT